GGGTCTGATGATGACAACGAAGGACAGCTCAGGGAACGCCTGAACGGTTTCCAGTAACTACCTCGTGTTTGGAATTAATTCATTTATATCAATAAAAACTTCGCACCTACATGAGTTACAATGAAGTTATGCAGTAAATCTGATGATGGAGCCGGAAGACCGTAGAGGGATCTCTTTGACTATTTGGAGTAATTATTTTGTGTTTGGGCTGGAATGATTCGCATTGGTGAGCACTTTGCACCTATATAGATTATGTAACTATGTTGAAGGTCTACAGAATACATAATGATGGAGACCATTGACAGTCGAGGGCATTCCTCAACAATTTACAGAACTGAACACTAAGGACTACTACTATTTCCGTGATTTTCGGTCTCAAGTAGCCGTCGTCTTCTCATCCGAAACGCATTATCCTTGCTTGCTCTGCATATCACTTAAAATAGTGAAATAAAATAATTTTTAACAAAAAAATTAATTTTCTGTGTACAAAGTAATACATGTTGTGCCTAATAAGTGCCAGGTACCAAGTAAAACAATGATGATTACTAGGTACCGATCAATACACGGTTCTAATACTGTTGTTGTTTGGTATGTAGCATTTACTTGGCACATACTGCGAGATTATAAAAATAGTTATTATTATTATTTTCTATTTACCTAAATGAAAAAAAACAAACGACTTCAAAAAGTAAACACAAACATAAAAAATAAATCTGTGTACAAAGTTGTTAATGACAGTTACGAACAAGCCTGGTGCAAAGTGCCAATACGAATCATTCAAGCTCAAACACAACACACAAGGCAACTACTCCAAATAGTCAAGGAGATCCCTCGACTGTCTTCCAGCTCCAACATCAGGTCGACTTCGACCTTCGTCAAGTTATAGTGTTGTAAAAGACTACTCTACTAAAGAACTACTCGCCCCTGCAATTATTGAAAGTTCCCCTCGATTTCTCCAGAATTCCATCATCAGATTCTGACCTCATGTAATGGGACCAAATGGCAGGTAAACCCTATCAAATAAAAAAGAATTTTGCAAATCGGTCCAGTCGTCCTCGTTTCAATCGGTGTACATACATAAAAAAAATACGCACCGAATTGAGCACTTACTCCTTTTTTGAAGTCGGTTAAAAATATAATTGATGTGTAAATAAGTATTGAAATGGATACTTACGTGTTAAAATACATTATATTAAGGTCTAGCGAGCACTGTCCCAAAAGTAGCTGAACAACATAAGCGTCAAAATTATATTAACACAGGGCAACATTAAAATATACTTTGTTAACCTAATTTTGACTTTTCTGCTGTTTACTGACTTTTGATACAATGATGTTCAGCGACTTTAGGAATACTATAGTGCACAGATACTTTTGAATTAGTCGTGTTTAACGACTTTTGTAAATTTCTGATGTACAGGCTATTTTGTTTCCTAGTTGTGACTATAACTTTTGGCATTTTATTGTGAACAGGTGTTTTGGAAAGTTGATTCTGTTCATCGACTTTTGGAGCTGACTGTACAAAGATAAACAATAAACCATTTTATTTATTTATTATTTATTTATTTATGTCTCAAATATATTACGTTAGGCATGTGCTGTCTGAGTGCTGAGTAGCGAGTTAAAGGCGTTAGTGGATAATCCGCCGCCTGGCTATTGGCGAACTGGCACGCTGGCATACTACACTTTTGAACGAGCAAATAAGTAGCTTCACTAGAGGACAGACCGAATGAGTCACACAAAGAACATTTTAACATTTTTGTTTGTCATTAAAAAAGCCTAGGGTAGCATATCTATACTAATATTATAAAGCGGTAAAATTTGTGAGTTTGTATGTAAGCGTAATCTTTTGAACTGCTGGTCGGATTGCCAAAATTCTTTCACTGATAGATAGCTACCAATGTTCCTGAGTGCTATAGGCTATAAAACACCACGCTACGAATAAATAGAGCAGAGCAGCGGGTGAAACTGCGCGAAAGTAGCTAGTTCTTTGAATTTGGCCATCCGCTAGATCCGGTCGCTTATTGTGCATGGCGAGGCAGTTCAAAATGATTCTTTCGAAAAGTTTTTTTTGGCGCAAAAGAAAACACAAAATTAATAAAAAAACATTTATTGAAATCTCTGGTACATTTATTACTTATATGTTTATCAAATTATATAAATCAATTACAATACATGTAAGATTCAAGAAACATAATTTTAAAACACCTGACATTTCCACACGACAACATTATGTTACAATTTCTTGGATTCATTAAAATAAAACATTTTAAACGATTGCATTTCAGTATTAATGATTTTTGCAAAGTTTTTTTTTCATCGATTTTAGGCTTTAATGGCAGATAGATTAGAAAAACACTGGAAAAGGATATTTTTTTGTATCAAACATTACAGATCCTACAAAAAGTACAAGTAATGGACCTGCATTATAATGACTAATAAAATAATTCATTAATTTCAGGGCTCATTTTTCAATGGTTAGATAAAATACCTGGGAAATAATTATGATGCAGTCGCATCAGAATGTTTGTATAAGCCTTGACAGCAACAATTTTATTCCACAGGTAACATTTATCTGACTATTCAAAACTCAGCTCTTAAAAGAAAAGGCTCTATCAGTTTCAAATTACAACGGGACTTTTATTCATGAGCAGATTGCGACACGGCCGCGACACGGCGTTATTCTTTAGGAGTTACTTCACGTGACTGACACCCGGTTTTCGAAAGGCCGATCAATGTTAAAATCAATTTAATCTCTGGTCAAGTCATCTGATTGGTTGACTGAATTATCAACAACCAATCAAAAGACTTGACAAGATATTTAACAGGAGATTAGTTAATTTTAGCGTTGACAAGCCTTTCAGAAACCGGGTGTTAGTGATTATTTTTTATAAACATTTTCTTATTGTTGGCAGCTACTTTCAAAACACCATTAACTACGTACAGCTTTATTTATAACAAAGTTAATTGTAAAAATTATTATTATTACATTGCGCTTATTAAACTAAGAGTCACACAAAAGCAATTTAGAAAAACATGGTAACTATTAACATCACTTGCATTATATGTATATTTATCTCAACGAGAATTTAGATACTTATCAACTGTTTTAGGAAACTGACCATAAACAATCGAGGGTCGGCTCGACCGGAGTGATACCACGGCCTCACAGAAAACCGGCGTGAAACAACCACAGCGTTGTGTTTCGCCTTGTGAGTGAGGTTACCGGAGGCCCAATCCTTCCCCTCCCCCAATCCCTCCTCAATCCCTAAATTTCCAAATCCCTAATCCCTAAAAGGTCAGTAACGCACTCGTAACTCCTCCACAACAACCTCGTAACATAAAAAAGAGCAACAGAGGAGTCACGAGTGCGTTGCCGACCTTTTGGGCATTAGGCATGTGGAGATTAAGGATTGGGGGTGTGGAAGGATTGGGCCTTCGGTTTGGCCTCACTCACACGGCGAAACACAACGCTGTGGTTGTTTCACACGTTTCTGTGAGAAAATTACACATATCTAAGAGGTACGTATCTAAAAACAGTAGCACAACACTGTTATACATCGAAAATAAAGACATTGCATACATCTTTTATTTTTCAACTTTGCCTCACATGTTTTCTCCTGTGTCGTGGATACGATGACAAATATACAATTTCACATATACATCACACCCCAACCCGGAACAACAATTTGTGGATCTCACAGAGTTGTTTCGTGCGGGAATCGAAACCGCGACACATTGCGCGGCAGCCAGATGCCCAGCCACCACGCCAACAGTACAGACAAATCTTGTGAAAGTGTTGATTTTACGTTTAATTTCTGCTATGTGTCATCATAAAAGAGTGTTATAAACTTACACAAAGTGCTTCTTAAACAAACAGTTAAGACAAACTATACCTAACATTAAAATACTCCTAAAATTAGACTAAAATTCTTGATACTTTTAGTATCAAAATATTGGAATGTTTTTCCACTAAAATACAAAAGGCACTTACTAAATTGTTATCACATTGTGCTTATAAATAAGTATACACTACAGTACTATACCTACGTGTAATACCGCCAACGTATCTTGTCGAGACTGAAGTTAGCCGATTAGCTGCGCAGTACACAATTTTGTTCCTAAAAGATCCATTGCGCAGACAAACGGCTAACTTCAGACTCGCCAAGATACGACGGCCTTACTGTAATAATAATAATCACAAATATACAAAGAAATTGTGCATTTCATTAGTAAAAAGTAAATAACATTATTTTTCCATACACTACTTGTATATTGGATGTAGGGTGTCATTTACTATGGTAAATCAATAATAAGAAGTGCATATTAAAGATAAGAAACAACTTTTTCAAAATGCTTAATTTATTTTTGCATTATAAACTTCGCACGAATTTCCAAACCTCGGTGATAGTCATTTGTTTTGTATTCGTTAGCGAACCACGGCTTTGACAGTTAAAAAGCGTCGCTATTTACCCATGTCTGACCTAATTTTTTTTTATAAAACCCTTCTCCAAACATTAACATACACAACAAAAAAGGTATTCACCAAATATGTCTAGAATTTGCTGAGTTTAGCTTACCAACATATTTGCGAGTGACATCACGGCGTATGAGTGAAGCAACCGGATAGCCGAATCTTATCCCCCTTCACCCTTTCCGCTCCTCATTCTACACCCCTTTTTTGTCAGGGGAAAATCATCAAATGACCTCTCCCGCCCAGGGTAAGGTGAGAGAGAGTGACAGACTCTTACTGGCTAAAAACCGTTCCTTCTCCTTCTCTAGGCCCGGCCGCGGTGACTCATCGCGCTTAACAAGCAACCCCGGCTTCATTCTTTTTTTTTAACCCTAACTCCCCAAAATATCTACAACGCAATTGCAGTTATTTCTTTAGGAAAGTTGTTTCTTGTCATTAGTACTATCACATTGCTAAGCTGTTCTTTACTAAATAAATGACACCGTAAACCAATAATAAACTGCAATACTGTTAAAAATACAGAAAAAACACACAAATGCTATTGTAAATAAGTTTTGAAAATAAGCACCATATAATTGTGACGTAGGTACTACATTATTAGCATTACGACCTCCTTTGAAATGTTTTAATTCAAATATTAGAACATTAATTGCTTATTTTACTATTAAAATAATAATACTAAACTTACAGTAGGTTTACAAGAGAAATATATAACTTTATAATTTATATTAAAAAGTTGAGAATTATAAATAAATATTTTTATTTATGATCTAATTCATAAATTGTTCATTTGAGTGTCGCGACATAAATAATATACTTTAATATCGATAGTTTCAAATTTATCGATAGCTACGTAGAGACGTAACAATAAAAATATTCTTAGAATCGATATATTCTAACAACAACGATTACATCACTAAAAATATTTTCTATAAACATATCGACAATCCTTGATATGTTTGTGTTGACATTTCTAATAATTAGAAATAAGTGTAAATTCATAATTAATCTTTGCACCTGAATTAATATCTGTATATTAAAATGGCACTACAAAATAAGGGCAAGATTTATTGAAAAAAAAAACATATATGTAACACATATAATAATTCAAAATAGAATAATGTTTATGTTTTATATATCATAAAATATAAATTGATCTAGACAATTTGAACTCAATTTGGTACGAAATAAAGATCACATTTGACCACGTTAATTCGAGTCTTATACTAAAAAAGGGGAAATCTCGTCTCAGCTGCCCTTTCCCGAAGATTCGAAGGCCGAATCGCTAGTTTCTTTATCATACTTGATAACGCTATCACAGTCCAAATAATCCATATCCGTCAATTCCCTTCTAATTAACAAATGCGGAGTTTTTCTAATCCTTTTTTCTTTTAAGAACTTTGGTATACATTGCTTGCCTTCCATTAAATATTCTATGATTACTCTTTCGAATAAAAGAGCTAGGAGGAGATGGAAAGCTGCCAACGCTAGAATTATGTATGAGAGTAGAGTATCTTTTGGCATTCTTAGTTGAAGGAACTTGGCTACCCATTCTGCCGGCCATACGGCTATGTAAACACAGATACATGTCATTATAAGCATACTGATCATAAGTTGCTTATTTGTTATAACAGATTTTCTATAAGGAGATCCGTGACTGAATACTATAGCTAGTATAATGTATTGGAACATTGATATAGCAAAAATGGCGTAGTTTTCCCAACATTCATTCGCTTCATCGCCCTCATAAGTATGCCTAACGTACCAAGGGAAGAATGTCAACGCTAAATAACTAAGATACTGTCCTAGGCCAACTAGGATCATTTGACCGACAAGAGAAAAGAGGGGTACTAGTCCTAGTAACGACGTTAAATGCGGCGTCTTACATAATTTACCCGTATAAGCTTCCGTCATACCGAAAAAGAATGCGAAATTTACTATTAAAGCGACATCTATGTAGAGAAATTGGAAGTCGGTGAGGTTTGAATCGAAGTAATAAAGGAAGGCTACTGAGAAGAATTCTGAGAGGGAATAGGCTACCATGAATTTGAAGACTCCGAATGAGGTTGATAGGGCGGCTCGTCCCTCTCGTAGTACTCTCGCCACGCATACGATGTCGGGGTTGGCAGAGGTGAAGGGTGCTGCGACGGAAGACTCCAGTTCAGAGAGCGATATCCCCGTGTGGGCGGAGCGTAGGGCTCCACAGTCATTTGCGCCGTCACCGCACATACCTGGGTGAGAGGAATTTTTGTTATTATATCAGTTTTACAAATATTCAAGTCACAAACTAAATAATATAGCCAAGTTTCATTACGTTTTAGAAGTGTTGAACTTGTTGATACATTTAATTCATTACCCAAGTGGGCTCGATCACGAGAATTTTGAGTTTAGTATCTTAGTTTGAAGAAACTATCGGTTTAAAATTTCAATATTCTTAATGATTTGTCAATGTAATTCAGTAGAGATTTTCCGACTGATGATTTTCGATGATCGACGGGGTTTGGTATAAGGGAGAATATGGAAAACCTTTTGGGTGGTTGGAGATCGCATTTTAAAAGGCGATCGCCAACCTTAGGTTTTTCGAGTTGGGCTCTAACGACACTTACTGCCAGAATAGTAGTACTACACTCATACACTTTTTTTTTGAAGGGAGAAATCATCAAATGTCTTCTCTAGCCCCGAGTCGAGTCAAAATCTTATTAATTAAAAACCACCCTTTTTAACCGACTTCAAAAAAGGAGGAGTTTCTCAATTCGTCGGGTTCTTTTTTTATGTATGTTCACCGATTACTCGAAGACGAAAAATGCTACATACCAAACAACAACAGTATTAGAAACATGTAATGATCGGTACCTTCTAATCATCATTGTTTTACTTGGCACCTGGCACTTACTTGGCACCGACTTCAAGATTACAAAAATAGTTATTAACTTAAATAGTAATTACTTTGTACAAAGAAAATTTATTTTTTGCTTATCAGTTTACTTTTTGAGCCCTTTTTTTTGTTAAATATTATTTTATCCTTTTCATTTTTAGTCCGATGCCGCGGTAGATTATCACCAATTATCATAATAATAGGTCTTTACCTATGAAATTACCGGTTTGCATGAAAAAATTTAAATGAATATTATGATTTGAAATGCGATGAAAATGTAACACTAATCAATAAACAAATTACTACTATTGGAAAAAGAATCCCAAGTTTTTAAAACAAAATTAATTAGTCTTAGCCTAACAAAAACTATTTTGATTTGAAATGACCAGTACTGCAGAACGGCAATTTCATAGGTAAAGACCTATTATTAATTGTACTCACCGACATAGTACCCCAGTGCCTGGTACTCCACAATGAGTTGTTGTTTCTGGTCGGACGACATGCGAGCGAACACTGCGCCGCGGGCTACTACACGGGGGACCATGTTCGGATAGTGTTCACGAAGGACCTGCGATTATAAACCTTATTGTAGTGAGAATTACGTTCCATTATAGGTATTCAACGATTGTTTAACAGTAAGTATTTTTTGTTGTTTTAAAATTTAAAAACTCCTGTGTAATCTACCCATTATCGTTACGCAAATAACACCAATGTTGTTCCCATGATGTATTTTTCCTGAATTCCTAAAAGATGGATATAAAATGATAGGTTTTCTTACTTACTTTTTACGTGGCAATATTTCAATATAGAATATAGTTATTGATATATTGATATTCGAATTAATTTTATAGGATACTGCTCGTATATATATGTATTTGGCAACAAATCATTTATTATGAAATTTTATTTATAACTGTAAGAAATAAAAATGGATTCCTTGAAAATGAGAACTTAATCATGTGAACTAATTGGACCCTGGACTAGTTTCAATTCTCAAGGGGACTGACTCTTCGTGAAGGAAATAGTAGATTTTTTTTTCAAGTTAATTCATCAATCATTATTTCATAAATAATTTATTATGAAATTTTGTTTGATAGAAATCAATCTTCGAAATACAAACATACCCGCCAGGTGTCTCCAGTCATGACGATCTTGTACCGGGGCTCCAGGGCTCCGGTCTCCGCGTCCAGAGTGTGCAGGTCTGCGGAGGCCGAGGCGGAGGCGGAGCGCCAGGAGCCGCGCCCACTGTCCACGCTGCGCCACGAGCGCTGCAGCGGGCAGCGCCGCCCTACTGTCGCCTGGGGAGGGAAGCACGTTTATAATGTACTATAATTACTCTAATTTCTACTATGTCATTGTAGACCATAACCTCTGTATTATACTAAACTAGCGGTCGCCCACGGCTCCGCTAGCGTGGATGTCGATTTTAAACTTTATCAGAATTATTTTTTTCAAAAGGCGAAACGAGTCGTTTTTTGTCTCTACACCCACACAAAAATGGGTACCTTAGTAATTAAGTAATACGGTAGTTTCCAACTAGTCAAATTCAATACTTTTATCCAAATGTCAAAAATGATACTTTTCTATGAAAATTGTATGAAACACTGAGTTGTGACGTCATAGTATTTAAGTCCAACTAGCGTACTTATTTCTTAAAAAAAATCTAAAAGTAATTTTAAACTCGATCTATCGATGAATAAAAGTATAGTTATTTTTCAATATTTTATTGTATTGAAACATCGAGTTAGTTTATCTTTGACCTAGAAAACTACCCAATTGTTAGGACTCATCGCTCGAAGGACTGACCACCGATGGACAACTAAGGTGGAAGCTATGATGATGATGAAGTACTTAAGCTATATGTATTTATGTATGTATAGCCCCGGTATACTGACCCCATGCAGCGTGCTCTCGCAGTATATGGTGGGGGTCCCCCCCGCGGAGTCTGCGTGGAGCAGTACGAGCCGCTCGTCCCCCTGCAGGATGCCGCACTCCTTCGCCACGCTCACCGCCGTCAGAACGTTGTCCCCTGTAAAAAAATAATAATATAAAATTATTACATTCATCTAAACTGGACAGCAAATAAACCGAGACACTCGCTAAAAACCTACAATTGGGTAGTTTCCTAGGTCAAAAATAAATTAATTCGATGTTTCAATACAATAAAATATTGAAAAATAACTATACTTTTATTCATCGATCGAACGATAGATAGACTAAGTTTTAGATTTTTTTTAGCTAATTATTATGAAATGAGTATGCTATTTGACGCAAAAATGTTATGACGTCATAGCTCAGTTTTTCATACAAATTTCATAGAAAATTCTCGTTTTTGACGTTTGGATAAAAGTATTGAATTTGACTAGTTGGAAACTCGCCCATTATTAAAGTTGCGTTGTGCAGAAATGTACAGATGCAATGTACAGAAATTGCGTTTCCTGGTGGTTAATCATAGGAAACTCATTGGGTTTAATCAATATTTCTGTATTTCGGTATGTATATAAAAATTAACGCCATTTTTCGTTGTATTGTTATAGCTCAAGCTCGCCCCCGGCCTGGAACAGAAGAGAATGGGAGAGGGGGGGTTTAGGAGAGTTAGAGTCTGATACTCTCTTTTGCCATCTCACTCACGACCATGGCTAGATATGATTTTCTCTCCTCAAAATAAGGGTTACGATAAAAACCTTGATACAATCAGGTGAATTAATTGAGAAACGCTCGACTAATTTCAAATCACAAGGGTCTCTTAATTCCCGAAGGAAATAGTAGATCTTTTTTCAAGAAAATTCAAGTGAATAAGCAATTATTATTTTCAATCAATTAAGTATGTTACACGAAAATAGCCTAGTCTACGGCCTAGCATTGGCGGCGCTGATTGCTTACCATCAGGTAATCCGTCTACTCGTTTACCTATCACATAAAAAACTAGAGTTACCGGTAATCATAACGACGTGAATGTTGGCTTCCTTCAGCTCCCGTATGATGCCGGTAGTGGCCGCCTTCAGTCTGTTCTCCATTATCACCAGACCGAGGAACTCCAGCTCACACTCCACCTACGGACAAAATGGATAGGATTAAAGTTAATAATTAAGGATGAAGTGAAAAATAGTAATTAAACTTCAAATGTAGGAGAGCCGTGCGATGGCACGAATGGTTCGACGCCACGACCTCACAGAAAACCAGCGTGATACAACGACATCGTTATATTTCGCCATGTGAATTACCGGAGGCCCAATCGCTCCCAATTTCCCCATTTTATCCCAATCCTCAAATATCCGAAACCCAAAAAGGCAGGCAACGCACTCGTAACTCCTTTGGTGTTGCAGGGTGGCGTCGATTGCTTTCCATCAGGTAATCCGTCGACTCGATTGCTGCCCTATCCCTTAAAAAACCGGGCAATTTCATTATTAAAACAGTGTTCAACATACATCTTCCCTGGTCATCTTCTGCAGCTGTTTGAAGGTCACCTCCAGGACCCTGGTGGCTACCGCGATCACCCGGTACCCCTTTTCCGCATAAGAGTTCAAAACTTCATACAGGTTGTCGGGAACTGTGAACAATGGATGTTTTACTAGGTGTATTATTACTATTATTATTACATTGGACACTATTGGGTATTTAATTGGTTAAAAATCAATAATTTAGAGATTTCATTAAAATTATTTAGCATATATATTAAAGAAATGGTATAGTATATATAACAGTAACTATATTTACGTTATGCACTCTCATTGATAAATTTGTCAATACGCTTTACTTTCGTATTTTTCTAGTATAGAAATGTATAATTTCGATTTTTATGAATTAAGAATTCACTGTACTTACTAAAAAAAATGTAGTTGTCAACTATTTACAGTATCGACAAAAAAAACATTACAAATGAAACATTTGCGCCTACGAGAGTGCAAAACAAATTTTAGCGCAATTTTGCGCAAGACTTAGTAACATTGATTAGGTAATAAAATCATTCAACGTACCAGTTTCGGGAATGCAGAGCGTGCGCAACATTTCCGGCGCCCCCTTAGTGTAGACGCGCAATACATCCTCGCCTAATACCCGCGTCACGACCGACGCACGTTGTAGGGAGGACACGAACTGATGTTGTTGGACTATACCCACTTCTAGAGGTAGCTGGAGATAGAAAAACAATATTTTTTTTATGATTATCAACAATTTAGTCTAGGTAGAGCCATGCTTCGGCATGAATGGGTGATACCACGGCCTCACAGAGAACCGGCGTGTAACAACACTTACTTTGTGTTTTGCTGTGTGAGTGAGGTTACCGGAGGCCTAATCCTCCCCCCACCTATCCTCAATCTTCAAATCTTCAGGTCTGCAACGCACTTGTAGTAACTCCTTACTTTGGTATTACGATTGCGCTTGGGCGGCGCTGATTGCTTACCGTCAGGTAATGCGTCGGTTCGTATGACCTATGTATGACATAACAAAAAACAAGAAGTGTTTTTTGCGTTGCCCTAGATTAGGATTTTCTTCTGTGTCGTGGGTGCGTTTTCAAACATACAATTTCACATACACATCACACCCAGACCCGGAACAACAATTTTTGGATCACACAAAGTGTTGCTCCGAGCGGGAACGGAACCTGTGACACGTTACACAGAAAATGTGGGATAATCGACAAATGAAATATAAGAATAGATTTAAAAAGATTAATCATGAATTCGATTTCCTAAGGGGCAGGTTAATTTTATTAACGCTTTCTTGTATTAAAATTAACTTACATGAATATCGTCGACGTCAATATTGGCAGTTTTCCTCGGTTTCACTATAGTAGGAGTTAGAATCTCGTAGTTGGAATGTTCTGGAATGTCCGGCTCTTCTAGCACCCAGCCGGTCGACTCGAACATCTACACATATTTGTATACAGACAGCCATTAAGCTACCTGAACTTTTAATTCTTTACTAAACAACTAGGCACAAAAAGCTACTTTTGAAACGTCAAAATAGAATAATAGTCTATCAATTTGTACGTCAGTGAAGCTAGGTGTTCATTCCAAAGTGTAGATTCGAATAGAGAAGAACAAGCAAGAAACTAAAACGCTGCTCTTTAAAAAAAAGTTTCAAATATACTATACATTCAAAATCGAATACTTCGATAGAAACTATTTAAAAACCAATTTAATTTGCTAGGTCATAAAGTTTACATTGCTTTGTATACCATACCTTCAAATCTAGTGGATCTCCAGCCAACTCATCGTCAAGCAGCGTGAGACTGTGGCAGGTGGCCATGCCTAACTTCAGGGGGTGTAGCTCGTTTAGCTGTCGGGGGTCACGCTGGGGTCTGCCGAGCCTAGGGGGCTTAGAGGCCCCACTGACTGCCACCACACCCCACATGTCCAGACCGTCTTCTGTTAGAGTTCCTGTCTGAAGAAGAGTAGTTATTCTTTAATTTTAGAGTACACAAATTGTAAAGTCTGTATTTAAATACAGGTATAAACATTGTCGATTAAAAAAAATGTAGGTTAGGCATGCTTTGACAGAATAGGCCGTGGTATCACTCCGTTTGAGCCGGGACTCAAATGGAGTGATGCCACGGCCTCGCAGAATACCGGCGTGAACATTTAAGTTGTGTTCACCGTGTGAGCGAGGTTACCTGAGTTCCAATCCCAAGGATGGGAGGCCCATCCTCAATAAATTCCTAACTTTAAATAAATCACCAATACCACATAAAAGACCGGCAACGCACGTGAAATAACTCCTTTGGTATTACGATTGCGCTTGGGCGGCGCTGATTGCTTACTATCGGGTAATCAGTATGGTCATTTGTCAACGTTTTGCTAAAAACTAATGCTACTTGTTGATATTTACAATAAGCGGTTGTATACCAAAACCAGTAATCCAATTAAATTATTAAAAGGTTGAAGTATGTAAAAATATCAGGCAAACAAAACAATACCAGGTATTTAGTCAGGACTTCTTTTATACAAAAAAAAATATATATATAATTTGAGAATTTAAGGGCTGATTATACAATGTTTAGATAAAAGTTATCTGAGGAATAATTACGATGCTGTCGCGTCAGAATGTTTGTATAAGACAGTGACAGCAACAATTTTATTCCTCAGATAACATTTATCTGACTATTGAAAAATCAGCCCTAAATAGAATAAGGTAAACTAATAAATAAACAATAGCATTTCACTTACCTTGTCAAAACACACACAATCCAGCGATCCGCTGACGTTAACGGCTCTAGTATTGAGACAGGCGATGCGAGCTCGCCGCAACCTCGCCACGGCGTACAGCCGCCCTACTGTCATGGCCGCCGGTAACGCGGGCGGGATCACTATCGTTATTATATCTAAAGCTTTTAGGGTTATATCTCCGGGGCTTAGAGAGCGGTAAGCCTGAAAAAAAAAAGTTGTGTTAGTCCTACTAGTAGTGTAAAGGCAATAGTTTCTTAGTATGAATTGATGTTTGTCACTCTTTCATGTAAATACTAGTGAATATTAAACATAGAAATAGATTCTGATTATCTGGAATAGGACTGCTATATATTTTATTAGTGGTTTCATCCACCAATAAAATCTAGTTAGATAATACTTGTATATAACATACATACACATTTATAAAACGTCAATGTAATTACTCGACTAATTTCAATTTCTCGCATAGGTATGCGACAAGAAAATTGATTTACTTAAAGTCTTGTAATAGCATTCTTACTGCACAAAAAGTACGAGATAAACAAAAAAGGAGGTAACTAATCAATTAGTGTAGTAGCCGGCTTCCAAACTCAAGAGTATCAACACTAATGTAATTTTTTTATTTCCACAGATACTAGCATCAAAATTGAAATAAACATTATGTTTGTAGCATTAACCCAACTTACTGATGTAAGTATATATATTTTTATACATGTTGCCCTACACTGCATTTTTTTCTTGTGTCGTCGGCGCGTTTACAAACATACAATTTCACATACACATCATACAAAGAGTTGTTCCGTGCTGGAATCGAACCCGCGACACGTTGTAAAGCCGCCGCGCTAACCGTGCACAGCCGAAACATTAAAATACACATTATGCTTTTATTATTTTTTTTTTACTATGACCCCAACTTATATGTCTAAAGACCCCATCTTACCTTGAGCGCGACAGTGTAGGCGAGTCCTATGGTCGCTATACAGGCGAGTATGATGATAAACTTGTAAGAATCTCTGTCGAACTTGAAATCTGCTGGTACTGGGTATAGGATGCTTCGGACTAGCTGACCTTTACTTGTATTGTAGCCTGTACGGAGTACTAGAGCCCTGGTTTGAGGGAAATTGGATTAGTCGTGCTATAATGGTTGATTTGTTTAAGTGTATGGTAGAGTTTTTACTAGTTTAAAACAAGTTCTACTGCTTATGCGAGACTGGAAAGTTGTGAAACATCACGAAAAAAGAGAAGTAAAACTATTTTCATTGAAAATTTGCGACTTGCGTCAATCAACTGAGAAAATTAATTAACTTAGCAAACGCCTCGCATGCATGAGAGTCCCGTTGTGACTTGAAACGAAACTAGACGAGCTTTCCTCGGTTATTTACGTGAGTGAGTAATTCTTTTTCAATAATTTATTTCCCCACCTCCAATCCCAAAATCTCCAGATCCATAATGACTAAAATTCCCTAGTTGTTGTGGGTGTCCATGGGCGTCGCTGATTGCTTTCCACCAGGTAATACGTTTGCTCGTTTTCCGACCTAACCCATATAACAAAATATTAAATAACTATAATTCGTTTCTTACTTGACGGGTTCATTATTGTAGTATCGGGTCTGTATGACCTTGGTGCCACAGAACAGCACACTGGACGCATGCTCCTTCAAGTCGAAGGGACGGTCCACTCGAAGTAAGGCTGTTTTTGTAACGGGCACCGATTCACCTGGCAAAAGGAATTTATTTATTTATTTAGAAACATAAAACTACCATTACAGTGTCCCAATGCGGTAGTTAAGTAAAGTTAATTATAACTTAAAAATACCAAACAGTTCAACTTAATCTATCTTAGTAATATTATAAATGTGAAAGCCTGGCAGCCCGTTGGTCGCCCACCGCGCCAATCGTGCAGTCGAAAGTCCAAAGTTATTTCTATTAGACCCTTACACATCTTTGAACTTCAAACAAAGCTTAAAGATAAAATGTTTTAGTCTGTCCGTCAGTCCTCTTATGCCTGGTTTCCGAAAGGCAGATCAATGTTAAAATCAACTAACTAGGTGTCAATTCATCTGATTGGTTGACTGAACTATCAACAACCAATCAGGTGACTTGACAAGAGAAAAGATTAAATTGATTTTAACATTGATCGGCCTTTCGGAAACTGGGTGTTAGTGAACCTATTTGCTCGTTTCAAAGTGTAAATTCCCAAAATATTAATTTAATTACTCACCAGTAAGCATACTCTCATTGAGCACAGCAGCGCCAGAGAGTAACGCAGCATCGAAGTGCAAGATGCACCCGCGAGGTGGCAGCACTATGATGTCCCCCGGGGAGACACAGCGACTGTCCACCCTGCGGCCGTCCCATAGCTCTACCGTGTCGTGAGCTTCCACTGTCGCACGGAGGTTGCTTTGGTTCTAAGGTAGGGATAATTTGATAAATTATTTTGATACCCTATTTGTTTTGTTTTTGAGACTTAGGGCTGATTTTTCAATGGCTAGATAAAAGTTACCTGGGGAATAATTATGATGCTGTCGCGTCAGAATGTTTGTATAAGACAGTGACAGCAACAATTTTATGCCTTATATAAAACATTTATCTGACTATTGAAAAATTAGCCCTTAAAGTAAATAAAATAGCTATTTGTTGTTAAAAAAAAGGAAAAATAAAAAAAAAACTTCAACAGACAAAAACCCCGTCAGGTCTGAATGCTAGATGATATGCTAAAACTTGATATTTTTATGCGATTTGTCAGACTTTATGAACTTTTTCTTAATTTATCACACAAAATTTTCAGAACTGAGAGAACTGTTCTAAAACCTCTTAATCTATTATTTGTTAAATGTAAACCCTGGCTTTTCTAGTGTAGTGCTTTAAAAATTTACATACACATTACAACCAGACCCGGAAAAAAATCTTTAGACCACACAAAGTATTATAGAAAATTTCACCAGCCATCGTACCAACCGTCCAACCGAAACCAAATCATAGGCAACTTTCATATCTAGACAAGGCTGCTAGCATAAAAAAGTAAAAAAAAAACTTTAAAACATCACCAACCTTTTTGGTCTGTATAACAGATGTGGCAACACCAAACGTCGACATTAATACGACGGCAATACAATAATAATAATAGGGTTCAGCGAGCCACACAGCTATTGTAAACAGTTGGAACACGTAGAACGGATTGAAGACTTCCAGGAGTATCAGCGTCATTATCGACTGGACCGGCACGGTGATCTCGTTTAGACCGTAGATGTTTAACCTGGAGAAAATATTAAATATTATTAAGGATCACTAACTTATATAAGTTAACACCTGATTTTAAGTCGAAGTCGAAATTTGTATTTGTATATTTTTAATTATTTTATTGCAATTATCGAAATTCACGATTTAATCATTTAATTACTTAGCCGGCAACTTTAGGAATTTCTAAATTATTTTGCGTTTACAAAATAATAACTTAGTCAAGTAAATTAACTGAGAATAGCTTTCCTAGTTTTGGTAATGTTAAGCAGTAGCACGACGTCGCCACCACGCGTTCGATAAATAAGAGTCCCAATGTGATTTGAAACTATAGTCAGAATTTTAATTCGATTCCTGATTTGACATGACCTATTGTCATTTTGTGAAATAATGATACCACATATAACAGTGTAGTGATGAACACAAAAATCGATAAACAATCAGTGAATCAGTTTCAGGAAGGCATTCAAAAAATTACGGCTACCGAATGGTCTAAATGCGTATCCCATGTTGTCAAAGAAGAGGAAAAAATGAGTAAGCTAGATATTTTAATTGACAATAAAAATCACAGACACAAATTCATAATAAATGTTACAGAAAGTAACAGCGATAGCGATAGCAATGACGGCGACATTTTATAAAATTTCTGTTTTATTTGTCATGTTCCTTCATGATCACATTTTTTATTAATTTCACACACAATCACAAAAGAAATGTCTCAGATCATTAATTAATTGTCAAAACTAAATTATCGGTTAAGAAATATTTTATTTCCTGATAAACTTAGTTTACGAGATTAAATTTATAAATGAGAGGAATCGATTCAGAAATATTCGATTTCCACATCGAATAATTTCGCAACGTCACTATTTCTTAAGTGTCATAACGTTGCAACACTGAAATTGTCAAATCTGGAATGGAATAAAAATTCCGAGTATAGTCGAGCTTTCATTTAACTTACGTAAGTCGTTATTTTCAATTTTAGTACTATGTGTCATGATAGTTACTTTACAAATATACTTTTTGCATGCTTGAAGTCATAAAATAGGGGCTTTATAATAAATTCTGCCTATACTGTATATTTGTGAAAAATTAAAAATATTAATATTTCAGGAGGATTATATTTCTTTCTCTGAATCTCTGACCGCCGCCGTTAGGTTAGGACCCTGTTCCCGAACCCGGTGGGACAATATTTTTTATATTTAGAATTATTTTTTACTTTTAGGAAATGTTTAAAAATATATAACATTTGTTTATATGATAAATAAAGGAAATTCCTTTAGATATAGCTTACTTACATCCTAACTCTTCGTTCACTGGACGGAGGTGTAGCCCCCATGGCTTGTAGCTGTGCACATGAAGCTCCAGATTCGATGCCCGCTAACCTTGTCCACTTGGCTCGACTACCATCCCAAATAAGAGATTGCTTCTTATGTCGGAAGTATCTGTAGTTCTGTACATCTGTGTAAAAGAAAATGTTACATCGCAAGATTTTCAAACTCTCATTTCGTGGTGCTTATTGGCGTTGGCTTAATATTATAATGCCGGGATGATTTGGAGGTTAGGGTGTGGTATCGAAATCTGGCACGTACTAATGTGCTTTCTAAGATTATCTAGACACCACAGACAACTAGTAAAGGAAAACATCGTGAGGGAAAGTTTGAAATCGCCAACCCGCCTTGAGCAAGATGGTTTTTAAAGCTCATCTCTATTCAGTGTGAGAAGAGGCCTTTTCTCATCTGAACAGTGTCATATTAAACTGGCTAATGATGCTGATGATGATAATGATAATATATTTTTTCAGTTCTAGGACTTAAATGTTTACTAAAACCGGTTGGTTCTATTCTATTTCATTATTCTTGTGATTCAATTTCAGAATTCTTGTTTGTTTCAGAGTTGCAGCCAGCTTGAATTGGGTTAATTCGACGTTTCAATACAATAAAATATTGAAAATAACTATACTTTAAATAACAAGTTTTAGATTTTTTAGCTGAATAATAAAAAATAAGTAAGCTATTTGACGCAAAAATGTTATGACGTCATAACTCAGTTTTTCATACAAATTTCATGGAAAAGTATCGTTGTTGACGTTTGGGTAAAAGTATTGAATTTGACTAGTTGGAAACTACCGTATTCACACGGCGAAACACAACAGTCTGGTACGCCGGTATTCAGTGAGGCCGTGGTATTACTCCAGTCGAGCCGGCCCATTGGCTCTCTTGGCTCTCTCAGAAGCGCTGGTTAAGATTAACTCATATATCTATATAAATTATTCATATTGATTGAATGGTGAAGTACATATAGGAGGTATGTGTACTGTTATCATGGCGTTTGTTTCAGGTCTTCCCCAGTTGTAGTCAATGACGCAACGATACGATAACGCTTCCGTCTCAAATACCACTTGAATTAACAAAACTGCTTCTCGACGTTCATATTGCAATTACAACAATATGACAAAACTGACAAGTTTACAAGGGAGTAAAAAAACGGCGTATTGCAAGAAAATCTTTTATGGGATCAAAATGTTTTTAACGAATGTTTGCTAACTATTGTATGAACATTTTACAGTTGCGTTCAAAATTAAAATTAAAGCGTATTATCTAAGTATAAAAAAATTATGGCATTGAAAAAAATGCAATGTATACGACGATATGTCAAATTATTGATTTTTTGTTTATGTTGCAGGTAACTAACTTAACATTAGCCTCATTTGATTGGATGGCCAATAATATAGCGCGGCCCCAGCCTGTTTTAGCCAGCAAGAGTACGGTAGTTTCCAACCAGTCAAATTCAATACTTTTAAGCAAATGTCAAAAACGATACTTTTCTATGAAATTCCTATGACAAGTTGAATTATGACGTCATTTGCGTCAAATAGCTTACTTATTTCTTCATAATTAGCTAAAAAAAATATCAAAAACTTAGTGTATCGATCGATCGATGAATAAAAGTATAGTTATTTTTCTATTTTTTATTGTATTGAAACGTCAAATTAATTTATTTCTGACCTAGGAAACTACCCAGTTGGACACTCTCTCTCGTTCCACCAAGAGCTAGATAATTTTCACCTTAAAAAAGAAATAGAAGTAAAAGAAGTACTCTAAATACTCACGAAGCGTGGTCCCATCATCTAGGTGTATGGGAGTGTGTATTGCGTCCGCGCTTTCGATGGGACCCTTCTCCTTCGAGCCTTCATCGTCAAACCCTTGGTTCAGTAATCCACTGAAATAATAACAGCAATATTAGTATTCGTAATTTATTTATTGCCTGTACTAATAAAGTCAAATGACTTATATAATAATGAACTGGATTATTAAAAAACTATGCTATAGTTAAAAACAAAATTTTGAGGGGGAAAGATCATGCTTGATGAATGCTCGATTGTGGAAGAGCCATGCTTATTCCCGAAAGCACAGTCTCAAAGAAAACCAGCGTGAAACAAGCAGAGCGTGGTGATTTCGCTGTGTGAGTGTGGTGACCAGAGGGCCAATACTTATTCCCCTCCCAAATCACAAAATCTCGGAACCCCCAATCCCCAAAAGTCTGGCAATGCCAATGGGAGTGTCCAGTTGCGGTACCGATTGCTTACCAGCAGGTACTCAATTGTCTTATTAATACATCAATCAATCCTACCACATAAAAAACGGCAGTACGTTATGCTAAGTACTTGTATTGCAAATAGCTAATTAATATTATTACCTAGTATCTGCTATATCTTTGTGTAATATTAGGTGTATGTAGTAACTCTTGCATTTCTTTTGGTATGTTTCCTGCAACAAACAAGGTATAATTAGCACACAGCCAAAAAATAACAAATAAATTATGAGAAAATATTGATAATGAATGTAATAGATATGTTAGGTATAGTATTGGTTACTTGAAAATTTTGGATTCAGTCCTCTTGACCTCTAGAATTTCAAAGCGACGTGACGAATAAAATATACTCAAAAATATTTTTAATAACTATTAAAACATTTTTTGCTTTCGTATTTGTACAGCAACGAGGTAAACATTGTTCAGGTTGTGATTTATATAGCACCTTTTTTAAAAGCTTTTTGAGAGAGAAGAATTAAGTATATTATCTATGAGCAATATTGACTGAGATTTTTTGTCTATGTAACAAAAAAGGTATCTTTACCTACTCAACTATCTGTACAATCGATCATTAGCGTGATTTCATTATTATAAATGAAATTAACTTACAACAACAAGCACTCTATCAGCTAACTGGAAGGAGCAGCGAACACAAGTAACGTAGAGGAACCAGGTCGGAAGCCAGTGGAACACCAGGAAGGGGAGTCCACAGAACAGGGTCGACAGCACGTAGGTTAGCACCGTCCGCCAACGGCTCTTGCGGTAGCCATATACTACCTGCGAACAAATGAAAAAGTTAGTAATGCGGTATACCTACGCGACCCGCCCTAGCTTCGCACGTGTTCGAAGTCCCTCGCTAAAGACGAAAAGGTCACTATTTTCCAAATTATCTCTCTATTTTTGTAAAAAAGAAGGCAAATTGACATTTTGGTAAATTGGTCCAGACTTTGTTGATGTTGAGTTACCACATTTTGCGTTTCATTTCTATGTAGGTATATACCTAACTAGCGACCCGCCCCGGCTTCGCAAGGATGCAATGCTGGTCCTAAATTTCTCCACTGTTTAAGGATACATACAGGGTGTAAAAAGACACTTAACGAAGCCGAAAGCCACGTATTCTACCCATTATTTGGATCATTTTTTTTTTCTTTAAGACCATAGCTGGGACTCCACGGGTTCTCGAGATATTGAAGGTCAAAGATGCATTTTTATTTTTTTTTTGCACAATCGAATTCTAAGTATTATTACAAAACTTTTTTCCAAACAAACATTACCTGAATTTTCGATTTTTCTAAATAAATAACGCATTTGAAGTTACGAACAGTAATGTACGCAATAAATAAATGCAGACCCCGTGCATCTCAGTAGGATTTTTATTTTACAGAATTGTTTTGTTGTTGCGAAGTAAAACGTCGATCTACGTACAGCGTTTTAATGCTAAGCTGTGAACCTAAGCACACAATGACACGAAGCCCGTTTGCTTTACATTGCGCGCAATAAAATTATTATAATTTTTTTTATTCCTAAACATAAAAGTCGTTTCCCAGTGATAATTTTAGCGTAAAGCTACTTAGTTAGAACTGCAGTATGCGTAGTTAACGGCTTCGTTAAGTGTCTTTTTACACCCTGTATAATTCGTCCTCTTCAAACCTTTGCATAGTTGTAAAGATTTGAGCATACCTACATAGGGTTCATAAGGACGAAAACGATTTTTTTTAAATCCTTTGTAATATACTGCCTTTGTTTTAGTCTGTATACTGAGTCTGATAGCCCCTCTCGTATCTGGGCGAGAAAATCATTTGATGATTTTCCCCTTACAAAAAAAGGTTTAATACTTCCTTACTTATTGATTTTTTATACATATTTAATGTGCAACTGTGAATTTACATGCTACATTTCCTTAGCTATAAAAATTATATCACTATAATGGACAATAGCCAGTACATTTAGCGAGAAACACTAATTCTACGTTAAACAATGTAAGTACCTACATAATGTTGATAAGCAATTCCAATTGGCATACATTACCTACTCCTGTGTACACTGTAACTACGAAACTAATTATCTACATGTATTGTGTTGATATTAATTATTTTTATGCTTATTTGCGTGTAATTTAATTACATAATAAGCAGGTAGCGTTTAAAATAAACATATATATACCAAGTATTTCTCTAACTTACTGTAATTGATTCAGACATACTTTACCCTTTTCCTTAAAAGTTTGTTTACAAGTATATGAGTATAAGTACATATTATAATAAAAATAGGCATCATAATAGGTGGATCCCCTTTCGGAAGTATAGAACAAAGACTTTTTGATAGATGAGTCAGTTCATGATCTGGGTTCACCTGAGTCATAATTAACTGTTTGAAACCTAAACTTTGAAAGTAGGATCTTTTGTTATTAAATATGACACATATCATATAATAATATCATGATTATATCATCAAAAATATATTGTGTGTACTGTAAATGTAATACATCACTTAATTAACAATAAATAAATTACATTCATAACGTCTTACCAAAAGGGATGACGATGCAGTCACTAGTCAGCCAATACATTGTTACCACAAATAAAATAAGTTTTTTTTATGTGATAGGACGGGAATCAAGCAGATTGATAACCTGATGGTAAGCAATCAGCGCCGCCCATCATCCCCATGTGAAATCGGCTCGTACAGGCTAATGATCAATGGTAAAAGGAAAATCCTAGTTCTAAACATTTTTCCATGTATCTTAAGGATCTGATAAAAATAAAGGAGTACCATGCAATATTTCTCCACATTAAATCTGCACAGAGAAATTATATCTACTGGCACAAGCTAGAGTAGATAAAAAACCAATTAACCAGTCAATTAACACACTATTGTTATCCGACAGATAAATAAATTACAGCTGTTAATTACGTCAACAATGTATACAATTAATTAATTGTATTATAACATTTTACTCGATGCATTCATAAAACTAAGTGATAACTCTTTATGACGGGATTCAGATAAAGTAACTGACTAACTCTCACACATTATATTAATTTATTTTTTACATTGTTTGGACAGACCTCTGAGTTTGTTTCGGCATTTCTTCTCACAGTAGTCAGAAAGGAATTGCTGGCTACATCTACATTTTTAAACATATATATAATTTTGATGCAAAAATTGGCCATTTTGTGGCCTAATTTTAAAAATCAATTCATTGTTTCATAACAAAATGTGATGTTGCTGGATGAATTTATCTCTTGAACTAAACTTACTTCCTCAAATTCTATTCTAGGTATACAGCGATATCTGCACAGTTTTTTGGAATGCAGGTATGAAAAAAAACATTGATTCAGTGCAGACAATACTCATTGTTAGGCTACCGAGCCGACCAATGTTTACAAACAATATAATTTCATTAAAACCCATAATCCATAAGTGTTATAAATAGCTTCTGGCTCTGTAATGAGTCAACCTTCTTACCTGTATCCCAAATACCTGTGAAGACTGTATTTTAATGTATAATTGTACTGACTACTACTACTAATAGACTATAATTATGTGTATTTTAATTCAAATTTATCTCCAATTTATTAAGTCTACTGCAAATACTACTTCAGATTCTGGCATTGCATTTCTCAAAATTGATCTCTTTACATAATAATACTATAAATTTAGTAATACTTACAAATTTAGATAAAAAGGGTTTGTAGTCATTTACCAATGCGAAAGTATAATATATTAAATGACTATATCCTAAAATACTACAGTACAGAATAATTACTTGTACACAGGAATGTTTGATCTAATAATTAGCTACAGGAACAATACACAGATTTCTATTCTAGAACTTAGCAATTTTATCTATTTTGGATGTAGTTAGTAAATATGGGATAAGGGAAACTCAGCTTACCAAAAACTTAGAAGTCTATATCTAGATTAGTTGCTATAGATGTTGCTATATCCTGCAAAAGGTTAACAAACTTAAATCATAAGTATAAACCAAGAACATACAGACAAGAACTAACCATAAAGGTTATCAAAGAGTCCTCGAAAAAAAAAGGATTCCGTTGTTAAGATCAATATATTCAAACCTGTTCTATATTTAAATAAACAGAACAAGATTATGTTCTTTTATTTTATGCTTGGGTGCCTTTTAAAGTTCAACACTTAAGCCACTAAGTAGGTATTAAAGGTTTAACACAGATTTTTACTAAAAAGCTATAATATTTTAGTGTTCATTCAACAATACTTTAAGCTTTCAATAATAAAAATAGATCACATAAGAGTCAATTTTTTGTTAAAAACCCTGTTACCAAAAATAAAATAAATGAAAAAATTAAACAATAAAAAATATTGCCAATACAAACTTTACCATGCATAAACCAAATAGAAATTTAAACTCTGAATAATTATAAAACAGCATACAATGTTTTAATTTACCTGTTCAAATTCTGGGTCAGTGTTGATCAGTTGTGCTGTGAGTTCCAAATACAAATCTCTACTTCCTTCATACTCAATTAGAGGTTGTATATCATCTTCAGAATCCATTATTTTATCTGTATCCTCTATTTACACAGATGTTACAGTCACAACTTAGGTATTTATTTAAATTCTGATTATTCTTACATATATTGACAAGAATACAATAAATTGAGTGACTGGTTTCAAAGTAGTTAATATTTTAGCACAACAAAATAATTATTTTTCAGCGAATATTTGTCCATGTTTATAATACAGTAATCTAATTGGGAAAGTCATTTTCTTATCTTATTGTTTCCTTTATTTACTCTCTTGATAAGATTTAATAGAAAGTGTATGTATCAGTTATTTCATTACTAATACCAATACATCTAAGACTTCAAACATCCTTGTTTTAGAGCCGTAAGGTCAGCGGTTTGTATTTCCTCGAACCTCGAACGTAAAATGATTATAAAATCATTACTAAAATTTATCCAAATACGAACCACACAAACACAATATTAACTAGTAATCTATTGCAGATACGGGTATAATAAAAATTTAATTTATGACACAATACACTTTCAATAATAATTATTACACAATGCTCTGTGCTCAGCTGTAATCCAACTCGGAAATTCGAAACAATCAGCCCAACCAACACAATGAACACAATCACGATCTCAATGACATACTGTCATTGTCATTGTGAACGAATGAATTGTTTTTTTTTTGAGTTTATGGCTTGGATACGAGTCCTCTAAGCCAAAAACGAATGAATTGCAGGAAACAACAGTGTTGCAACTTTTAAAAAAAATATTGAGTTTAACATGTACGAGTAGTTTAAAAGAACATTTGAATAATAACAATAGCATTAGAATTAGAATTAAAAATAAAAGTATTTACCGATTGACTGTCGTCAGTTGTTAGATGTTGCTCCATGCTCACCGTCATCTTGATGCAATATTTTGAAGTGTGGCCACTAAATCTAAAACAAAAAATGAAAAGTCAATATTTATTTGATTATTATTATGAAATTAAAATTAATAAAAATTATTGAATATTAAAACAGTTAAAAATATGTGATTTTACTACGCGAGACGATTACTTTATGTAATCTGTGGCTGCATGGCATTATTTAGTCATTCACTCATTCCATTCCATTCCGTGTCAAGTGTCATGTCATTGTAACTTATTGTTTTGTACGGTTCGTGAAATACGCAATCTTTGAAATAATTTAGTATTCGCGTATATTTTTAGATAAAAACTGATAATAATACATAAAACTCCTACAAATCCAATCTTCGATATTCGTAAGTTCTTTAGAAATGTTAAAACTTAAATAACCTTACAACATAACCTAAAATGTTTTTAAAAGTTTGTTTTGATTTAATTTGTAGTCTTTTATCTTTGTTTTTTTGTTTAAACACTCTACATATTTCAATTTTATAATACATTCTATAAGATTTGTGATAATGTAGTCCGAATATATTGTTAGGTTCTCGTCTTCTCCTTAACGGCGAACTTATTTGTATATACTTTTTCAGAGTAACAGGCCAACATGATCATCCCTGTCCGTTGTTTTACCTGTGGGAAGGTAATTGGAAACAAATGGGAGGCCTATCTGGGACTCTTGCAAGCAGAGTATACTGAAGGGTATGTATTTAGTACATAGTATCTTCAAAATATTCAAAATATTAAAGAAAAAGGTGATGCGTATTTGCGTAGTTTTGTTACGACACATATCATTTTTCTTTTAAAATTCCAAGCCAAAAGATAGTTGTGAAGATAACCAGCACTGTTTTTAAAGAAGGTTTTCTTTGAAGAACAAAGAAAAGTATTATTTACGACTGCATTAACAGTTTATGATGGTGAAAAAAAATGTGAGTGTTTCCAACACTATAAATATCTTCCAATTAAACAATTACACATGACAAACTGAGAAAATACTTACTTTTTTTAAGTTAAATACTAATAAAAAAGACTTTAATTTTACCCACCTCTTAAAGAGAACCCACATTATGTTGAATACAAAAACAGATCACTGTCCGCTATTTGACAAAAAAATAGAGGTTTTCAAATCTGTAACACACAACAACCAGTGTCTAGCCAAACTGAACCTACTAAAATAACACTAACCCTTATCTTACTGCGTCTGAAGGCAAACTAGTTGTTGAGGAAAGATTTTTCTGTCTACCTATTCTGAGGAAATGACCTAGAAAAGATAAATAGTTAATTATATTCCTTTATGTGGAAAAAAAGCCAGTTCATCTAGACCCCTCTTTTCAAATACTTTTGAAACCAATAAAGGTCTTGTCAAGGTTTGAAAAGCCTCGTGTTTTTATAGTCCAGTGCCAAAGTAAGGTTATCTACGATTTATGAGGATGTCCAAGGTTGAGTTTGTGTTGAAAACTTGTGTTTTATCATGGTTTTTCAAACTGAATGGTAGTATTGTAGTGTTCAGTTAGGTTGGTTAACAGAAGAATTAAAATAAGATTATTTGATTTACTGTTCTGAATAATTAGCGGTGGCTGGGAAACTGGCTGGCACGCAACGTGTCACGGGTTTGATTCGCGCACGGAACAACACTTTGTGTGATCCACAGATTGTTGTTCCGGGTCTGGGTGTGATGTGCATGTGAGATTGTATGTTTGTAAATGCCGCGACACAAGAGAAAATCCTAGTGTGGTAAAAAAAACAAAAAAATTTTTTTTTTTTATTATAAATGGTGCATTTAGGATACAAGTTTAATGACTAAGTCTAGATTTTTGAGTTACTTCCTTAGGAATAGTTATTTGTCTTCATTTATACCTTATATCACATGCTAAGCTGCTAATTATTAATTGACACCCTATATCGTCATTCTTCATCTTTGCTCCCTTTCTTCCACAATCATAGTTTAAATATATATAATAAAGACCGGGAATTCCTTCCTATTCTTAAATTAAAACTCTGATTTCAGTAACCTTTTTTTTTTTTTTTTTTTGGTGTCGGGTTGGAAAATCCTCATGGAGACCCATCGCCCTCGGGGAAGGGCGAAGGGTACTGTCAGACTCTTACTGACTAAAAACCAACCCGGTGTTCCTCCAATAACCCATGTGTCGGAGGGGCGGGTATCGCCGAAGCATTCGTCGCAACCCCCCGACGGGTGTTGGCCCGCCAGATGGTAAGGCGGGCCCCGTCACCCACTGCGGCCGTCACCCCGACCGCAGGACTCCACCATGAGGCGCGCGCGGAACACGGCGCCGCCGCCTCGAGGCCTGCTGCTGGTCAGACGACAAGACGCCCCGAGTCTGTCGTCCACAGGCCGCGCCCTACGGTGGCCGCAGGTCGGCCACCCTACGACGTCTAGTGCGTCTGCTGCGGGAGGGGAGAGAGGAGGCAGCCTCTCTCTCCCTTTCCGCCGCCTCCTTTGCGAGCATCACGGCCTCGCAGAAGGTAGCGACGGTACTCCACCCTGACTCGCTCCCGACCATAGTAGACACTACAGCCGGAAACGAGAGATTTCCCGCAGCACCTACGGCCGCGACCAGGTCACGACGCTGCTCGGCCCAAGCTGGGCACTCCGCCAAGGTATGCAGCGCCGTATCGTCGCGGCAATCACCACAATGATGGCACTGAGACGTCGGCTCCCGACCTATGCGACACAGGTACTTCCCGAAACACCCGTGTCCGGTAAGCACCTGCGTCAGCCGGAAGCTGAGGGCGCCGTGGCTCCTATTGAGCCACTCCTCTAGAACGGGCCTTACCGCCTCTATAGCGGCGTGCCCCGCCGTGGGTTGCGCTAAGCGCGTCTGCCACTCCGCCATTAAGGTCTGGCGGAGTTCTGCCCTGCGTGCCTCAACCTGTCGAGGCACCAGGCGCTCGCCCCGCTCGACTGCCTCCACGCGCCACCAATAGAGCGACGCGAGGAGTTTTGCGTCGAGGTCCCAGGGCGGGGATCCGGCTAGGAGGCTCGCTGCCTCAAAGGAGATCGTACGGTATCCCCTGATTATCCTGACGGCCATCGCGCGCTGTGGCCTTCGCAGCGCGGCGATGTTGCGGGCCGTCAGGGCGTCCGCCCATACTGGCGCAGCGTATAACGCCATCGACCGTACGACCCCCATGTAGAGCCTCCGGCAGGAGGAGATGGGCCCCCCCTGGTTGGGCTGATTTCAGTAACCTCAAGTTAAAATAAGCATCTTTGTTCAAGTTAGTTTGCAGCAGTTATTCAAGTAACATAAAACAATTTTATTTGCATGTGAATGATCTCTTTTCATGCAAATAACTGTATACAATATTAACTTGTTGCTTTTTCTATTGTCTTTGTTTTTTATTGTCAATCTGTCATACTGTTCATGTTTTGTTGAACTTCTTGCAAATTATATGCCAATAAACTTACTTAGTATGTACTAAGTAAATTGTTTTAAATTCTATTTTTATGTGGTCCCACAGAGAAATTTGGAAGGAAAAAGGGGAGGCCTTTGCCCAGCAGTGGGACACACGATAGGCTATAAAAAAAAAACAAAAAAAAAAATGTTGTCCCTGGGTAGGATTTCCTCCTGTGTCGTAGGTGCGTTTACAAACACAAATTTCCATACACAAGCCAGCCTGACACGAAACAACAATTTCACAGGAATCGAACCTGTGACACAGGACGGCAGCCAGTTGCCCAGCTTCTACGCCAACTGTGTAGTCAATTAAACAGTACCAATTGACTGTTCCAAAAGTTTATTTTTTTTTTTACTTTTTTCCAGTGACGCTCTCGACGCCCTCGGTCTGAAGAGGTACTGCTGCCGAAGAATGTTACTAGGACACGTCGACCTGATTGAAAAGCTACTCAACTACGCTCCTCTTGAGAAATAATTCCATCTTTATGTTTAATATTTAGTTCATAAGTTATTTTTATTGTTATACTGAACTTTATAAGTTTGAATTTAATAAAATTAATACACGTATAAGTACATAAGCAAGTTTTTTTTTGTGGTGGAAGATCGTGTGGAAGTTCATCTAATGATTTCTCTGTTTGGCGAGAGGAAGTGTCAGACTCTTGCTGACTAAAAGCCACTTCGTTCCTGCTTCTCTAGGCCGAAGTCACGGTACCTTATATGCTAGCCCCGCAACCGTATGAAGTGGTGTGCTGGCTCTTTGGAGCGTACGCAGAACGCTATGCGTCCGTACGCTCGAGTCTGGTTCGGTCGGACAGCGAGCTACCCTTGCTTCCAGTCTGGAGACTCTCGCTTACGGCGGCGGGAGATCGCCGCACAAACCGTGATGCAAGGAGAGTCTCCTACTGGGTCTGCTGTGGCGTGAAGAGGATAGTTTTTTCACACGCATAAATAAGCAAGATTGTGGTCCTTTTTACTATTCACTTATTAATAGCTATTACGCAAACACGATTTTTTTAAACATTCCTATTTTAAACCTTTTGTGATAGAAAAGTACAGAGATTCGAGAAACTACCTATAAAAAAGATCTCTCAGTAGGTATTTTAGAATTGCACAACTTGTGAAATTATTATACAATTTCTTTTCATAAGATAATAAGATAAAAAGATTCGTCTAACCACAAGGATTTTAGCCTCAGAAATTACATAATGAATGATGTATACCTACCTAAGTCGACTCTGGTTTTGAATTTGTTATTAAGTTTTGGAGCGCCGTCAATTCAAAGCCCCTAAAACGGATGCAAGCCAGAATCTACAGTAACTACCTACATGAAAAAATACTGAACATGACATGAATAACTTTAGAAACTGAAGGATTTTTTGTGAGGGGAATATCATCAAATGACTTCTCCCGCCCAGGGCCGGGCGGGAGGGAGAAACTGAAGGATAGTCTTGTATCCCGCTACGAAATAAATCAGAATATCCTCTGAGAAGAAAATTTACTAGAATTTGAAATATAAACTAGCTTAGTTTTGTTTCTTGAACCGAGACCGAATTGCTAAATACGCAATAATTGCATTATCTATAGGTGTAGAGGGTAATCTTTGAAACCGCTGGTCGGA